TGTTTCTATAGAGCATCGTCCGAAACATGTTACAGAAGCAAAACCTCTCGAGCCGTTGAGAAGCAAACTGCTGCTCGAGTGGATATGCAAGAGAAAATTTGATGCACCACGCAAGCCCCAAATTGGCTTCGTTATTCGTTGATTCGTTGGTCGACTTCTCGTGAAACTCGTAACAGAATGTTTTGTAAAACGCTGCCCGGATTGTAGCAACATTTACCGTGCTCCTCTGATTAGTCGGTTACGTAATTTCACTAACAAAGACACTTTATCGCACGATGTGTAACCAAACATTTTATTGTTGCTCAACTCGCAGACTTGGAACATTTGTCTTACCTTATCGGATAGGTTATTGCAAATGAGGTGAATGCTATGATCAGTTTATTGTTCCCGTTTTTAATCGAGTATTTATATATTGGTGTGATAGATATATTTAACTTGGGTGATAAAATTTTCTTAAATTGATTGGAACGAAATCTCTTGCACTAGATTTACATTTCGTATACATCTATCTTTACGAACAATTACATAGCTATCTTTACGTCAATTTGACGAACGAATACATTTAAAGAAAAACCACTTAGAAAGCTATAGTATAATTAAACACTACAAGAAATGAAAATATGAGATATTTATAGAAAGTTTTTATTATTCAATAATATTTTAGTACATTACTTTAATATTCTACATTCATATTTTTACTTCCCTCTGCCCTGCGAACTGCGATTTGTACTGGGACCCCGGGTCCGAACCCGGCATACCGGCTGAGCCGACCGCGTACGACCCCGGACTAGCGAAGTCCGTCGTTTATAAGGTATTGTCGGTGCATTCATATTTATTATTGTTGTAATTTTTGCCTGGGTAAAACTAATTTACTAAAAATTTTATTTACATTACGATCGCGTGAAATTGACGCACATCCGTAGAGATAGATATACCACATAGCAAGTTTCAATATTTCAAAGCTTTTGAAGAAAATAGACTTCAATATATATTTACCTTGTCAACGGATAAAAGTCGGTACAGTAAAATAAAAATGCGAACGGTTTTTGTAATTTTCCTAAGAAAATTCGATATGCGTCTGAATAACGCGTATCGTAAACCTAGTGTTAAGATAGTAACCTAGTGTCATTGCATTTTGCATAAAATTGATTACAGCTTATATAAGTTCCCTGCATAATTAAAATGCAATAAATCGAACAATCACCAAGTTCTTCGAACTATGTTTAATCAATTACAATTTACTAAGCAGAGTCATCTGCAGAATGCGACCTCGTCAAATTAATTCGCGACCAAGATATCGCACTTGTGACATTTCAGTCGTTACGGTGTCATCAAGTTCGTTATCGTCTGGGTAATAAACGATGTTAGTATACCCGTATGTGGAAAAATCGTAATTGTTTTTTTATCACGGTTTCACACGCTATGCGTCTGCGTTGAAAAGCTGTTAACACGACATAGAAGGTTCTTCGTTTCTAAAACTGTCTGTAATAGCTTCAACATATTTCAGTTTACACGAGGCTGTTATTAACAACTAAACCCGTCTGTATTATGCACTTACAAATTGAAACTGAAATTGAAAAGTAAATGGAAAATTTAACCAGTCGATAAAAATTTGCATTTTTGAAATGTAAATCAGGGTTACGTGAAATGAGATGATATGTGAGACATTTGAGATTTGTGTACAGTTTAGAATCTGAGAAAGTTAGGAACAATTAGAAGGTTGGAAATTTAGAATTTTTGAAGTTTGGAAATTTAGAGATTTCAGAGTTTAGGAATTTGGGGTTAGAGAAATTTAGGAATTTGGAAAGTTTGAACCTTAGAAATTTGAGACTTGAGGAATTTTGGAATTTGGAAAATTTAAACTTTGGAAATTTGGGACTTGAGAAATTTAAAAATTTTAAAAATTTGAATCTTACAAATTTGAGAATTTGTGAATTCAGAATTTTTGAAAAGTCAAAATCTGAAAATTCAGAAATTCGCAAGTTTGAAAATTTGAAATTGTGGAATTTGACAAATTCAAGAATTTCCAAGGATCCAAATTTGAAATTTGGAATTTCTAAAATTCGAGAAATTTGAGAAATCGATAATTTAGAAACTTGAGAAATTTGCAAAAATTGTTCTCATAAGTCCTTCTATTCATATAAAATTTCACAACTTTCTTAAATATCCTAATAATCAAAACACACCAACGTATCAGAGAAAACCATTTACCACAAAAAATGCACAATATCAACGCCCACTACCCAAAGAAAAAATTAAAATTAAAATGCAATCATGTCACCAAACAATAAAAAGCACGCTTAAATCAATTTCAAATCAAAGTACATTATCTATGTAAATACTCCTCACTATCTATACATATTAATCTCCTTAACGAGAGAATGTAAAATTACAATAACAAATCACGCGACACAAGATTTTTAATTTCATTGATCATCAGAGCGTATCCACATGCTCGAGCAAATCAAATCAATCACGTTAATACATTCTGAAATATTACTTATGCATACATTATCCTACCCGCACGCTCTATTTATATTTCATCTATGCATATCAATCCCACATCCTAATTGAACTATTCAAAACCGCACAGCCATTAAATGATTCATCGTACGAAACCCCGAGGAGTTACCTAGGGATTAATCAAGCCCCTAAATGACCCATCAAGGGATTAAATAAATTACCGTCATGCGTCCACTTCTTCAAGTCAAAAGCCTCGAACGATAGATTAATCCTTTTTGAGAAAACTATTACTTCACTGTGGGAGTCGGTTCGAATATATTCACTTTTCTCCCGAATTCTTCATTTGATCCAAAAAACTCGATCACAGATCGATAGTTTACTTCCTTCCGGTCATATTTCGTGTGTCACTTTTGATTTTCGCGCAACTTTTCATTCATGAATTTGAACCGTGCGCGCGAGGGAAAAACGCGGGAAATTTGAACGTGGAACAGCGTGGGTCTCGACGGCAGTCGATCTCATCCTCGAACACGGCAAGAAAGGAAACTGAACTCGTTCGCGATACGTAGACACGTAAAACAGCCGGTGATTTTCTTTGATTCCCACTCCTTTCGCTTTTTATAAACCGCGAATGACGCGGTCGATCGACGTTCGTTGTTTTCTTGCGGATTCTTGTTCGCGACGAAAGTTCGTCAGACAAAAATCGATTCTAGTTTCACGAGGATTTTCCTCGACGAGTCTGTGGTTTCGAGATTGTTTTTCCTCGTTGGGATTTAATTGCGTACGATGCGAAAACCGGTCGATCCAGTAAAGATGACGGATTAAACGAGAAGCGATTCGTGGAAAATCCTCTTCGACTGACGTATATCGAAGACACGGTATATTTCTCTTGACCGTAAAATTAGAAGACTTTTGGGAGATTTGTGCGTATAGGAGGTATTGGAGTTTAGGAATACTTTAGGGATATTTTATTTTGGCGCAAATTCAAATTTTGCAATTTGGGCTTTTTAATTTGGGGAGTTTGGATGTTTTGGGGTTTGGAGATATTTTGTTATTGAGATCTTGGGAGCTAGGGATATTCTCTTTTAGAGATTTTAGAGGTTTGAAACTATTTAGTTTCGGGGGTATTTCAGTTTTGAGATCTTGAGATTTGGGGAGATTCTGTTTTAGAGATTTTTGAAGTTAAAAATTATTTAATTTGAGGATATTTTATTTTTGAGATCTTGAGATTTGGGGATATTCTGTTTTAGAGATTGTTGAGATTAGAAACAATTTAGTTTGGGGATATTTTATTCTTGAGATCTTGAGATTTGGGGATATTTTGTTTTAGAGATTTTTGAGATTAGAAATTATTTACTTTGGAGATATTTTAGAGACCATGGAATTTAGATATTGTTTGACCTGTTCATATTTTATTTTAGAAGCATTAGAATGTAGAAATTCTTTAATTTGAAATATTTTGAAAATCTTAGAATGTAGGGATATTTTAATTTGTAAATTAATTTGTGTCTTCGCGAATTTTGTCTTCACATATATACAAAAATTTTAGAATTAAAAAATTTAGCAAATCTTGCACACACTCATTGCAAGTTTGGAAATTTAAAAATCTGACACAGTAAACATTTTGAATTTACAAATACAGAAATTGTCAACATGAAAATTTTGCGATTTGCAAATTCAAAATTTAAAAACAATGTCAAAATCATAAATTGAAAAATCGATCACTCAAGTTTTGTATTTAAACCATCAAATACGCCAATGTCCAAATTTCGAGGTAGGAATACAAAAGAGTACTGTAGCCCCCAAAAAAATCAACAAACAGAAATCTTTGTTACACGTTCACTGCTGTTTGATTGATTTCCCTTCGGCCCCCATATTGTTTCCGCCAAACTTCTCCAAACAATACGAACACTTCGAAAAAAATTCACCTCGATAGCTGTGAATTTTTCTGTTGTTTTTAGTCGATTCAACATTCTATCGTAACGGAGATCAATGGCTTACTATCGAATGAAACACAGAATTTAAAGCGGTATGCAAACATATTCGAAACTTTCCATGCAACTCGGTTAAAATAAACGAATTTATTAATTCGGAATCTGCGGCGCGATTAAAGTTCTGTTTCAAACATTCGTTCGTTGTTTGAGATGTGAAATAAACTCGCAAAAATCGTATTCCATTTTAAATACACACTATTCTGTATCAGTTGTTGATTGCGTCATTTGTATAAATACTAACAAAATAACAAAAGCGTTCAATCGAAAAAATGATACTGCAAATAAACCGTTTTAAAAGTTTGTAAATACTTGCAAAAATTTCTCTTACGGAGAATTAATGTTTATTCCGTTTCATTTAAAATGTTTATTCAAAAGGTGGAGGTGAAGAATTTTCAACAAATTTGTTAGTTTCTTGTTTTTATGCTTGTAGCAAAATTTTGACACTCGAAGGCTCGTTCAATGACAAATCACAAAAAAATTTATATTCACCTTCATTAAAATATTTAAATATTTAACTTACATAATTCACTCAAAATTTACATTTACCTTTACATAAAAATTTAACTAGACTTGCATTTATGCTCACTCAACAATTTAACAATTTAATTTAAATACATTTTAATCAGTGTTCACAGTCCTTCACAATCGACACAATTGAAAAATTAAAAAATTAATGATTGTATTTATAAATATCTTAGTCACTGATGTTTCTATTTACAGAAATGATGCAGTGTTTTCCACGGTTCCAACACATCGTTCAACTCTTAAAAATCGAGTGAATCAATTCTGAAGAAACCGCTTTTAATCGTGCCAGAAGCTAAACAGCTGAGTGCTCCCGCCATTTTGGGTAGAATACAGGTTCAGTTTGGAACAAAACGAGAAAAAGATAGAGAGGAATGTATCGCAGGGGTCAGTAACTCGATGGCCTTGAATGGTCAATTGCCGAGGCGGGCCAACTTCATTTAAAATGGCGTTTCGTAAGTCACAGGTGGTTCGAACGAGCCAGCCAACGTTCTGATTTCGAGATATAATCATGTACAGTCGAGGTCAAGTTCAGTTTCGTGAACGGATCACCTTGAGAAGAGTTTCAACAGTAACTTGACATTGAAAGAACAATAATTCTTGATGCAACTGCTTTTTAACGTAGATGCGAAGGAATCCCCGTTGGTTTGAAAGTTAAATCGAAATAAGGAAACTGCGGAAGAACAGGCTTAGGTTAACCGGCTATGAGGAAAGTTGTCCGTGGAATTCAACTGTGACGACTGTATTTAGGACATTTATTTTTGTAGGAAAATTTAGAAATGTATGAGTAAGGAGATGATGTACACTTGTTTTTTATTTTAGAATATGTCAAATACTGGTAAGGTTAAAGTAGTATTAATATACATAAAAATGAGGTAGTAAAGGATGTTGTCTTTAAAAAGACTTTGTTGGGTATATAATTGGGCAATAATTACATTAAATATGCAAAATAATTCAATATAAGTTTTCGTGTTTCATACTAGTTGACATTATTTCAGCTGTAACAAAGTAAGATTTGCTTAAATATAATTATGGTTGGTGTAATAAAGTCAAATGTCCAAATAATCCAATAGAAGTTCCCAGTCATGTTAGCATATCTTCCAATTTTAGTAACATAAGACTTGAGTAAACAAGACTTGAGTATAATTAGTTACACCCACAGTAACCAACAAACAAATCAAATTTCCATCCTCATGTTTCATTAGCTTTGACTATTTCAATAATAAATAAGATTCTCTTGAGGATAATAATTACATCTGCTGTAACAGACTACATACCTAAATAACCCAATATAAATTCCAATGTTTCAAATTACCAATTTTCACTGTTACAGTAATGTACAAGGGTCACTTGAGTATAGTAATTAGTTACACCCGGTGTAAGTCAAATAACCCAATATAAATTCCCAAGCTTCATATCGCCAATTTTGACTGTTTGAGTAATGTATAAGTAAAAGTCTCTTGAGTATAATAATTAGAACCTCTGTAAGCAATTGATCAAATATCGAAACAACCCAACATAAATTCCCATGCTCCACATCGCCAATATTCACGATTTCATTAATGCACAAATAACAGTCTCCTGAATACAGGGTGTCTCACAACTGTAGTTCCCAAAAATGGTAGCTGACGTGATTCTGAATAAGATTTCCCTTTACAAAAATGGGATTTGAAGCTTCATTTTTGAATTATTAAGGAAAAACGCGGACCAATCAGAGCGCGAGGATTACGCGTGCGCAGACGCGAGAACGGTAGCTTCGGACAACGCGTAGTTATCCAACGCGTGGTAATCCAACGCGTAGTAATGCAACGTGTGGTAATGCAACGCGTTGTAATCCTACGCATAGTAATCCAACGCGTACTAATACAGCGTGTGGATATCCAACGTGTAGTAATCTAGCGCGTGCATATTCTACGCGTAGTAATCCAACGCGTAATAATGCAACGCGTGGTAATTCTAAGCGTAGGAATCTAATGCGTGGTAATCTAACGCGTAGTAATCCAGCATGTGGATATCCAACGCGTAGTAATACAACGTGTGGTAATGCAACGCATTGTAATCCTACGCGTAGTAATCCAATGCGTAGTAATCCAA